TTTAGCAGTTATTGATTGAGATATCATAGTAGAGAAAGACACCTTATATGTAAACCTTGCAAGGCAGGTTCCTGAGGCCAAAGAATAGCAAGAGCAACAGGCAACAATTGCAGCAAAGAGAAACAAAGGCATCAATGACTCAACAGGAATCCTACAAATCAACGGAGTTACATTTATATTTGTGCTTCCCACAAAATAACAACAAAATCATTCTGCTTTTTGGGCGCTCCTCATATGACTCACTTTTTCAACCTATCATAAATATAGCGACTTATTCCCTACAAGTGTGCATCCTTGAAAGGATAAGTATTGACTTTCAAATTAAATTAATTACTAAAATAACAGGTCGCTATAATAAATATGACAAATTGGGGTCGAGTTACATCCGATGACCATTTGGAGAATGAAAATCACAACTATGAACACATACGTCCGGAATCATGATTGCCTAGTAGCCACTAAACATGAAATATCAAATGTGGGCATCTGGTAATAAACTAATAATGTAAAATTTCCTAATTCATGTGCAATGCTGTTGAGCAATGTTCTTTCGATTTCGTACTTCCTGGAATCAATAGATACTATATTAAGTAAGTCCAAAAGGAAAGCAAAAAGAAAATCAAAACAAAAAACTAAGGCTATATTTGGAACAATCGAACTATTTCCGTACAATACAGCTGAAAATGAGATAAAATTTTAACCCCAGTAGAACTTCAAGTAGAATCGCAGTTAAGCAAAACTAGAATAATACACCACAAATTCTTTTTAGTTTTGATGGAGATATTGTTCCAATTCTACTTCAAGATCAATTTTAATCCTCTTATAATAGGATTTCCATCCTGAATTATTAGAGTACTATAATAGGATTTCCATCAATGAATTCCATGAAGAAAAAAAAAAAAGGAAGCCGCTTATATTCCAAAACATACATAGAGCACCGTGACCATATTATCAACAGAGAATAATTCTAAAATCGACAAATAGAAGACAAAAACCAAAAACGATACCTTAGCGATAGAGAATCCATCGTCAGGAACGACAGTTTTATCGACAGAGACTGAGGGGGAAGGCTGGGTTGAATCTGCAGCCCTAGTGATGAACACAAAACTCAAACGGTTTCGTTTCGGATTGGATTGTGCGAGGTTAAGATGACACGTTCGCGGCGGCGAATTGATGGAGAGGAACCAACGGTGACGATTGCATACCCCGAGTTGCTGGCGAGTAGTGTGAAAAATGGCAGTACTCGGTGCTGCCGATACTATTGCTCTGGTTTGCATTTTGTATAACCTTCACCTTTATCGTTCTGCAACTCCTAACTCGAGCGCGCGCGAACCAGTTCCCGTAAATATGATATCTCGCTGGAGGGAAACGAGAGGCTGCAGTTTGACGATGAAATGACTCGACGCCAAATTCCAACCGCCAAAAACTTGGATGACGTGTCTTTCTTTTACTAATTTTTTAAAAACAAGATTTTTTTTTTTCTAAATAAAATAAATATGAAAGCTCGGTTCTTATTTGGGTCGGATCGGGTTTGCCCGATCTGTAAAAACAGATGGTCCGAGTTGTCTTAGACCGGCCCGGCCCAGTTTGATTATTTTTGGGCTGGGCCCATATAGTTTTGAAATTTTTGGTTCTTTAAGCTGAAAGGTCCAGTACAAGGCAATCTGAGTACTCAATAACAATTACCATATCATAAGGAGAGTACTTAAACAGTGTGAAGCATTCCTCACTTGAGCCAAAAAGGCAAGGTCACCATTTACACATCCCAATCAAAGTTTACTTGTTCAAACTAACCCTCTTGAGTTCATTTCAGATTATATATCTGGTTTTGAACTTTGCAGGTATGTAATTAAAAATCACCATCATCTCTGCATAAGTTGTACCTAAATTTACATTGCCTCAACTTTTACCACTACTCATCTCTATGATTCCGAATATCGACTAAAACATCCTACGAGCTTGCTTCTGCACATGAAACTGGAGGTGTGTCGATAACTTGTTGGACCTGAAGCATTTTCTTTCTGCAAAGTAGGCGTGAAAGGATATTAAAAAGATAAACAGTATAATCAAGTTAAAAGAAACTACAGAAACCAAGAGCTACCAAGTCAGCAAAATTCATATGCCATGGATTGATGCAAACATTTGGTTATGGGAGAGTAAACAACAGTTTAAGGTAAAGTAACTGCATGTGAAAGATGTTTTGACTTGATAGACGCTCATTCTACTTGTTTTAGTTAATTAATAGACGCTCATGTAGAACGAGATTGTGATTTTGATGTTTCAATCACTTGCATAATTAGCTTTGAGTTACTTGAAGATGGAACACCACTGCTTAAAAATTAGAACCTATCTCTTAAGGTATTTAAACTAGAAATGGAAGGGTGTCTAACATAGAAATTGCAACATCATTCTACATGGGAAGAATATTGCGGTATCAAGTGAAAGAATCATAAAACCTACATTCACTTTTCATTTCTGAACCATAAAAATGTGAATCCCAGCATTCTATACCAAACTACAAGTTATGATCACAATACCATAATATGCAGGTGCGGCATAAGTTGCTGTATGAAGAAGATGCAAAAGAATATTCCATACTCATACAAAGGACATAATAATTGGTTATCCAATTTCTAATACAATTAACAAAATTAATCTAAAATTTCTGAAAGACAATGATGATACAGAAGGCAAAACATTAAGAAAGCCAAAAACTGAATGTGTAAGGCCACACTTTTCACATTGTAAAACTACAATAAGCTAACCTTACACAAGATATGTACTTCTCAATTTCTTGTTTCTGCTCAGCATCATATGCGAACCACTTTTCGTTCTGGGAAAGTGCATCACAGGTTCCAACATCTATTCATTTGATAAAAATTATGATGAGCATAAAGTCGCATGATCATCCACACAATAAAATACCAAATGCAATTTAACCTTGAAGCAAAATGTTCCATTGACCATCATAGCCTTTTAATCTCCAGAAAGCATGACCACTAGTGTCCAAGAGAATAGCTTCTGTTCTAACAGCGTCAGACCTTTGCCGCTCTACAATGATAGATAGAAACAATGGTAAAAACATATTTTCAAAAAGATAAGGAAAAATGTTATAAATTTCTACAAAATTTGAAGGACAAATACTAACTGAAATTATTCAATCTCCCCGGCCTACATATGCAGAGATATCCAACATATTAAAATAACTAGTGGAAAAAACTCAAACCTGAAACCACTTTGAAACCAATACACTAAAACCTAGATTTATAAAGTGCTCAGCTTCTTGTAACTTTCCTTGTCCCGCCAACATAAAAAATAACAATACTCTTATATTAAAACCAGCAAGCATTATTAAATTTAGATTTGGTCTTCAAAATTCTATTTTTATCTAAGTACTTTCTTACAACTCCCCATAACTAAGCAAATAGACCAGATTTAGTTTTGGCTGTCTTCAAACTACAACACGATTTAGGCTCGAAACTTAGAGCCCACAAAAAAAAAATTGAGACAAAGAAACAACTTAGTGGTTTTTTCTTCTTATAAAGCATAAAGTCAGATGGCGTCACAAAATCTTAGAACAAAGATAACGCATGTCTTAAATGAAATACAATCATTTACACATCAGCATAAACATGTTCCCCTATCTAATATGTGGAGCATTCATCTATCCACGTTAGTGACTACTAATGGCATATTTAGATACAATGAATTGAAACATTTGGAAAGATAAACTATCTCAACATATTTTTGCACAAGCAATGTAACATACTTTTGGGTACCAGGCCCATTGCCTCCAGCATTTCTGCATGAGCTTCAGTTGTTTCTCTTTTTATTTGTGAAACAATAGCTTCATGCTCAGGAATTGTTAAAGGAGCACCATTCTTTGCAATAATAGCTTTGGCAACTTCGTCTAGCAACTTCTGCTTCAATTGTTTCTCCTATGAAAGAGAAGAAAAACCAATCCGAAGTGAATATCACATCAAGATTAACATCTGAATCCATAAGAACTACCTCTCTTGAACTCTTACCTTATCCCTTGCTGCAGTGACCTTGGCTTTTGCTTCTTTCTCTTTTTTACCAAACTTGGAATTCTGATCGTCAATCCAATTCCTTAAGGCTCTAGATTAAAGTTCCACAAAGAAAAATATAGAATGGAGAGATCATATTTCAAGCATTTGATCATCATACTACAAACTAAGGACAATGTAGAAAGAAGCTTCATCAGTATTACTTACGTAGTACAAAGAACCTCATCACATAAGAAGTTCAGAAGTTTAAGCTTTTTCGAAGCATCTAACTTCTCATATCCATCAACAACCTTATTAAAGCAATTTGTTGAAAAGTATTTAAATTGAAACTCTGATTCAGATATGCATTGCCCAAGAGCTTGCAACCAAGATCTTTTTCCAGCAGTTGGTGTCAAAGATGGAAACCTAAACAATGACAGCAGTTGTCTATGATTCCTGTGAAACTGAAAGAAAAGCTCATAAACAGGTGCTGATGTACATACTTTTCTCCCTTGTCCTTTTGTATCAAAGACAACAGTTGAATGTGAATTTGGACATTTGAGGAATATTGTAGCCGGTGAGTAGATCTTCCGCGAATCAACTCTCTAATCACAGATTCAGCTTGTCCTTTCCTCATTCCAAGAACCTATAATATCACCAACCATGAAAAAAAGCAATAATTATGGTTAAAGGGAGCCGAACTTATTAGATAATCAATATAAAAGGAAAAAAATTAAACTTCATCTACAAAGCCCTTTTGACACATTGCTCATAAAGCATGCAGACATGCATAAGGATTCATTTAGAGAAATCAATAAAGGGAAGAGGAGCACCATTTTCACTTATGTGAACATATACCATAAATTAACATGAAATAAGGATCATTTCAGTATCTTAACCCCAAGGTAATTCACAGTCAGATGTTGATTGATATTATAATAATTTATCATTTATTTGCTCAGAAGGTGGTTAAATTATACACGAATAAAATACTACATAAACCTCAAGGTGGTAGCATTCCATTATTCCACGCATTAACAGATTAGAGTTATATACCTCTCCAAAAGCTGCACAAAATTCTAAGAATTGTAATGCATCTCCAACATCTTCAGGAGGTACATCAACACCCCCAATTGTCACTGAGGTTGCACCCTGAGGCAGTTGAATGTCAGTATCAAATTCTTTGTTCTTAAGTTCAACTGCATGCTTCTTCAATTTTGGCACTCCCTTGAGCTTGGCTTCCAGATTATCATTTTTTACACCATTTAAGCCTTCTTTTTTGGAAAATTTTATACCATCTTTGTCTTCTGCTTTAAAAGAATTCAAGGAATTATTCTTCAAAACCCGTGTCTTCGAATCACTTTCCTTGACAAACTTGGGTTTTTCTTCCCTAGAGATTTCCTCAGAAACCTTAACATCATTGGCAAAAGTTTTACTCGATGAATCATTTTCCTTTTCTGCAAAATCGCCTCTGCCTTTTTCTTTTTTCTTCCGTTTGTTCCTAGAACCATCCGCATTATCTCCCTTCATATTTGTCATTCCATTAGAAACTTCCCTGACAAGCTTGCGTTTTTCTTCCTTAGAAATTTCCCCTGAAATCTTAACGCCATTAACAACATCTCTGCTCCATGAATTTTTCTCTTCTGCAAAATCTCCAATGCTTTCTTTTTTCTTCACATCTTTCCTAGAACCATCCGCATTATCTCCTTTTTTCTTTGCCTTTCCATCAGAAACTTCCTTGACGAGGTTGGATTTTTCTTCCTTGATAACTTCCCCAGGAATCTCAACATCATTAACACCACCTCCGCTCAACGAATTATTTTTCTTTTCTGCAAAATCACCACGTCTTTTTTCTTTTTTCTTCCCATCTTTCCTAGGAGTTTCCTTAGAAACCTTAACCCGCTTTGGGCTAGGTTTCTCCAAATCTGCATCATCATCCCCCTTGGAATTGGGGATTTCTTTTAATCCTTCTCTTTGGGATTTCAGAGATTTCTTTTCATTTGAAATTGATGTTACATTCCGCATTTTTAAGCTTGAATTACTTTGTTCATCAAAAGAGTTTTCTTTTCCTGCTTTCCTTGGAGAAGTAGCCACGGACTCCTGTAAAAACCACAAACATGCACAGTATAACAATATAGAAGATAATCACAATTAACCACCAACATGCACCGTATGACAATACAGAAGATAATTAGATTCAACCACCAAAGCACCACAAAGGGAAAAATGGAAAGAAAAGAAACAGAAAAGGAATGCATGTTAAACCTTCTTTGTGGGAATCAACTTCTTTGGTGATGCGCCAATTTCTCTAGCAAGCTTGTCCTGATCAATATTTTCAGGCCCCTTAACTTGCAGCATTTCTAAAACAGAAGAAAACCCAGTAGCTTTGGCTCTGTGTGCCAGTACACCAGTAGGCCTATGTCCTCTTTTCTTCCTGTAAACACACCACAACTACCCTTATAAGAGTCACCTTAGCACTACCAATTTAGTGATACAAAGCCTTCATTAATCGTACTTACATGCAAAAACTGCAATTACAAATGCCTCTGCACTTGGGACATTTCCAGTCATCCAAAAGTGCCACATCTTCTGCTTTTTCTCCATATCTATTTCAAACCAACCAAGTTATTGCTAAAACCATTACGTACAACCTCAATAATCTACTATATACATCGTGAGAGAGAAGTACGCTAGCTACAGTTTCTAACCTGTTCAACAAGCATTTGTGACAGAACTTGATGGGACATTGTTTGTCCTGTTTCTGGTTTTTGCATGAAGCAGAAAAATCGATTGTTTTTTGCCGGCACTTCAAAAATGAAAGAATAGTTTACTCATAACAAGAAACTATCACTGAAGGTTAAAACATTATATGAATGAAATTTCTCATCCCTAGATATCGCTAGACGAAGAAATAACACTTAATCAAGGCCATTAAATTCAATATGATGAATTGGTTAACGCAACTAAGCCAGAAAAGAAATAGAAAAAAAAATAAAGGAAGTTCTCAGCCGAATTTAAATTCCTCTTGAATATCTATATCTCGAAATGTCAAGAATCTAAACTCCAGGATTTCAATATATATATATATATAAACTTCAATTCATTTCCGCAACTGTATAATCAACCAGACAGAAGAAAACGGGAAACGAACATCATTGACGCATTACTAGAAAAACAACAAAAAATCTAAGCCCGTTCGTTCATACAATAAATAAATCGGTCTCAAGAAGAAACTTAGCTCTCTAAACACAATTATAATATCCTCCGCCTGCTTTAACTTTCTCGCCAACCAGATCAAAACGGAACAAAAACAAGACGGGTAATTTGGAACTTAATCAATGACTCACCTGGTGACAAGTCTTCCCGTTCTGGGGGTCATAGATTCTGCCTCCCACGACGCGAACTCCAGCAGATTCAGCGCGCTTCCTCACTTTGCCACTTTCCAGTTTGTTTTTGGATTCAGAACCCGAAGAAACAGCCATTGTTGCAAAAACAAAGGAGTCGTCCTCAATCTGAAAGCACAGAAGAAGTGCAAATGTTTACGTTACTTGCCTTTTCGAATTGGTATCTTCTTCATTGGCGGGAGACATCTGAGAATAAATAAATAAATTTCCGGGGAAGATTTGGAATTTAGAAATTTTGGAGGGTTATTTCGGCGCCAAATATTTGGCTGTTCCCGGTTTCCGGATCCCGGTCCACCGGGGAAACTTGGTGCTTCTCTATTATTTATTTATTTATTTTTTATAATTTGGTAAGAAAAAAAAATTATAAATATTAAAGAAACAGCTTTACATTATTTATATTCATTAAAAATTTATTAATTTTTAACTAATTAAAAATAAATGTGCTTTTTATTAATTACATAATTATTTAAATTAATTTTCTTTTCTAATTCGTACTAAAATGTCTACCTAGATTTTATATTTTATAAATTGTGATATAAACAATTTAGTATATACTTCACCGTCATTTTTATCGGTTTTTCTGGATTCCTACAAAAAAAAATTAAATATTTTTTAATCCACTTATTTTTAACTGATTAAAATTATTAAAATTTTTATAACATATCACTTTAATATTAAAAAAATATATATAAAAATAAATTTTCAACTACTAAAAAAATAGATAACAAAAAAATAAAATTTTCTAAGTTCCCACGATCATTTAGAACCGCCATCTCATTCCATCATTCTTCATCTTCGTCTCTAAATTTTCTCATTCGTGATTCATCGCAAGAGTTTTAAATGCTAAATTATCACAAACGACGTATACGTTTTTAGCACAATACAATTTACCAACACAATTTTCTATCGAAAATACATAAACTTTCAACTTACGAGTTTCCTAATTTGTTTTTTTTGCCAAGTTACGTGTAACTTAAGACACTATTATTTACCTCAAAACGTTAAGACTCACAACTATTTTCTTACATCCATGGACACCCAAGAATTAGTTTTTTGGAAATTGGTTTGAAGTCCTGAAAAGTTTGATATTTACGAGCAACGAAGAAACCAATAGGAAAGAAAAAGCAAATCCTTCGAGAAAATACTGGGTGCAAATTAAAATCGAGAGAGAACGAGGGATGTGATCGTGGCAAAACATGAGTGGTCCAACAAAGATAAGGCAGGATCTCGAGAGATTTTGCTTGTTTGATCAAATCCTAAGCAAGACGTCTGTCTCTATCAGCTATCAGCTGTTATAATAATAACTTTTCTTTCGTTACTGTGTGTGGTCTCTCATGGACATTCTCGCACCTCTTCCTCCCCGGCTATAATCTTCCATTTTTACTCTGTACTTTACAGGTACATTTACTTTCTTCTTTGATTGGATGTGATTCTGTATTTGGCTACTTATGTTTTCAGTAATAAAACCAACTTTAGCTTTTCCTCCTTTCATTACTTTTTATAAGTTTATACACCCGAAACCCGACTACAGGAGATTGATTATGTGAGGAAAATGATTGTGTTGTTATCGGTGTATAGCTTCTCATTCTTGAAATGTGTCAATTCTATTATGTGTTCAATTGGTTAAAGCGGAACATACTCTGTTTCTTTCTTTGGCACAGAGCTGGCTTCTTTTTCTGTATTTGGCATGCAAGAGAGAAGAAAAAATAGTAGATATACAAAAATGGGTTGTTTCAAATTTCTGGACATGTGAAATTTGAGGCTAATGGGGAATACTACTCTTCTTTTATTCAGGTCCAAATGGCGTTGATGACAGTATACTACAAAATGCCATATAAACATCATGCCCTTTCAATTCAAGGAGTAATAACAAAAGGAGCCCTGGTTCATGATAGTTTTTCTCATAGAGAAAATTTGTGCTTGATTCTGTATGCCTTGGAGTCTAATACCAGTAACAAGAAGCAGCTCAGGTCATTAGACTCTTATTTTAGGAAACTCCATTGCGGTTCTCCTAATTGGGAGGTACAGCAAATTAAACCAAGTGTCAGAAACAGGGCAGAGAAGGAGCTGGAAACTCTCAATGATTATCTTGACAAACTTAATAACGATGGTAACTTATTTTATTCCTCGTGTTTACACTGTCGTGAATTCAATTTATTGGTAATATGTGACATAATAATGGGTTCTCAATTTTTGAATGTAGATTCTGATGTAAATTTGGAGGATTATGTATCATCTATATTTGATGATCAAATGACTCAATGGAATCAATTACCACTGGATGTTAGCAGTGGTTCACAGACAAATGACGAGAAGGAACTGAAAAATTTCCGGATGCTAAGAAGTATGGATGGCCAAAGACATTCGAAGAATCTGCCTCAAGCTTTGGATCAATATGATGAAATCTCTGATCTCTATTTGATGTAAAATCACAGACCCATCTTACTACTTCTGTCATTTCCACAATCTGAGATGATGGAAGATTTCTGATTTCTTCCTTAATAATTTTTTATGCAGAGGTATATTGGCCTCGATAAACATTGCAGTGTTTCTGTTTCAAATAGCCAGTCCTGTAAAAAACGCTGAGTTTGAGCTCCTTTCACTGCCATTATTATATGGAGCAAAGATAAATGATCTGATTATGGTTGGAGAATGGTGGAGGCTATTGACACCAATGTTTCTGGTACAAGATTGACAAATTGGGTCTGTGTCTCAGTCTATTTCTCTTCTTGTTAATCTAAAATCATTACAAGGAAATCACTTACTATAGATATTTTATATGTACAGCACTCCGGACTTGTTCATGTAGCTCTTGGCTGTTGGTCTCTCTTTACCTTTGGACCTCAAGTTTGCCGAGGTTATGGTTCATTCACATTTTTCTTGATATATATACTCGGAGGAATCTCCGGAAACTTAACGAGCTTTCTTCACACACCCGCACCAAGTGTTGGTGGAACTGTAAGTCCTCTACTCTTCCTTCCTCTTATGTTGTATTTCTTCAACTTTCTTGTGTTGTGTTTGGTTCAATTCTTAATACTAATTGTCATGTTCCTCTTCATAATATATATATACATATAGAGTAAGTTTGACTATTTGTTGTATGAGAATTTCCAATTTAAGACTTTATAATTTTTTAGCAATTCATTACCTTATAGTTGAAGTACTAGTTAAATTAGCTAACTAGTTTATTCAATGGATGCGTTACTTAATTCTTTTAGATTTTCTTATCGTGAGTATTACCATTACTTGTATTGTCACTGAACAAGTTTATGTGAATGAATTATGTGAAGGGCAGTGAATTGTAACTTGGTTATCGTAGTTTCCTACACTCAGCCAAGTCTAATATATGTGCAGGGACCAGTTTTCGCCATAATAGGATCTTGGCTGATTTACCAGAAACAAAACATGGATGAAACCACAAAGGAAGAAGTTTCAGACAAATTGTTCCAGAAGGCAATGATTATCACCGGTCTCTGTTTCATCTTAAGCCACTTTGGTCCCATTGATGACTGGTAATGTTCCTCTTACCCTCTTCTTTTCTACTTCTGCACTGACTAATACCCAACCCAGTTGCATTTTACTTGCGCAGGACACACTTAGGAGCAGCTTTTACAGGGATAATGTACAGCTATTTCACGCACCCTACCCTCCAACTGGACGACACTTCGTCCAGAACTGGTCAAGAAGAAGGAATCAGACTCGTCAGAAAACATGCTGATCCCTGTAAATCGTTCGTTTTATTCTCCATCTTCGTTCTTGTTTTGAGCTCTCTGCTTCTCTTCATTGAACCCCCGCATACCATGCCTGGGTCTTATGACTTTGTTCTATAATCTAGGATACAACATACTAGTATATATAGCTGGTGATAAAGCCAAATATAGCTGGTAATAAAGGCAAATATATGCATATACATCAATATCTATATATATATGGAAGAGAGATACTGTAATGGTTCGTGTTATATAACAGTCTTGTCAGGTTCCATTTTGCATCAAATTCATCACTGTTGATGAGATAGGCTGTTTAGCATTTTTCTTTTTCATAATCGGTCTTCAAGCATAATTATCAACCAAGTTATCTTTGGTTTCTTGAGTAAGTGAAAACCCATGTCTATCTTAAGCAAAGCCAGTGCTCAGGTATTCTGGGTTGAGCTCCATGAGAGAATTGAACGGACCTTCAACATGTTCATGCTCTTGTGGGAACCTAAAATTTGCAGAGAAAGTCTTGAATTACGTTCAATACCCATGCTTGTTCACGTAGAACGTGATCTTTACAGCGTTTGCAAAAAAAAAAAAAAAGGGTAGTTTTAATTTCGAGGCGACTGGAATATTGGATGCATAGCAGAGATTTTAAGGAGTGAAGAGAGGTTTATGGAGGTGATGATGATAACTGGATTGTATTTTGATATTTAAGTCGGCTGTGTAATAAATTTTGAAAGCAATGATTTGAACAAATATATAGATAGATATATGCTATTATATATAGATAGATTCATGCATGAATATATGCATATACATTTTTTATTGGATGCAAGTGTGTACACGTATAGGAAATGCATGCCCATAATATATGTATATAATACTTACAATCCTACCAGAAGAAGGAATATTCGTATAATTCATGAATTTGAATTAGAGATTTGTTTAATTTAATTTCTAAGAAACCTAATACGCTTGGGTTTCGATATGATTTTCAATTAATAAGTGAGAGGACTGTTGGATGGTGGAGTTAAAAAAAGGAACGCGGTACTTCGTATTTGAGGAGCTTAAGGGTGCTTTTGTCCCACATCGTCTACGAGAGAGATTATCGAGTTAATAAGGGATGTTAAAAAGTGAAGCGGAGGAAATCAAACTCATACCTTTCTCGGCCTTTTGGCTAAGATCAAGTGTAGTATCTGTTCTTATCAGTTTAATATCTGATACGTGGGTCATCGACTCACATGATATTAAATTAGTTTTTTGAGGGGAAGGTGCCGTAACAATAGCTTGCTATTGGGCTCCTCAAGCGTCGTCCGTGCGTTGCACTGCTGCAAGGACCCGGCGCACCCCACCAAAACGCTATTAAAATTATGTTGGGGCTTTTGGGACGCATTTGTTGGGTAGTTTATTCTCTCTGGTGAGTGAAGCCACTTGCTTTATTCAGGACGATTGTTTGGATTGTTTTTCCTCCCGATTGAACCTACTCAACGCGCCGTGGTCGTCGTGTTTTTGGTCCTACATTGTTCTTCAAAGATTTCGTCGACCTTTAAGGTAAACAAATTCTATCTCGGCTTTTGAAAACGAGAGAATGTCCGATAATCCACCCTGCAAACCACCGTTTCCTGAGGAGCTAATGAATCTTGGACCAGAGTTGGCGCCGCGAACGCAATGAAATTATGCAGTTGGAGAAGTTTATCCTGGCCCGGGTTGGAACTCAGATGGTTGGAAGAAGTCCAAAAAGGAAGAAATATAGTGAGAATTTGATCATTGGGCGCCATAGTAAGTGGGTTAACTGTGACACGTTCACAAAAAAAATCTTTTCATAGCAAATCATTTATTAAGGAAAATAGATATAATACATAAGTGGAAGAAGAAAGAAGAACTTGGTATCGGGCATCTTCCATTAGTTATTAGTTATTCATGTTACGGGCGAACAACGGGAATTAAACCTACACGTGGTTATAGCGTCTGTTTTTTCGCATTCGATTTTGTCTGCGTCGGCCGGTGGCCGAATTTATAAACGCCCACAGTAATCGTCCCACAGTGTTTAGGGCTAAATAAAATCTAAGCTTTATATAAGTCTATCCCCGCGACCGTCAATGTCTCTCCGGAGACATCCGATAAAATTGGAACGATACAGAGAAGATTAGCATGGCCCCTGCGCAAGGATGACACGCACAAATCGAGAAATGGTCCAAATTTTTTTCTTTTTTGTTCCGCCGTTGTTGTTCTCTCTCAAGCAAACAATTTGCTTTGTTCAAAGGTTTTTCTTCTTATTTTCCCTCTTCTTGTCATGATTGTCGATCGAAAAATGGTCCAAATTTTTTTTTTTCTTGTTTCGCCGTTGTTCTCTCGAAGTGAAGGCAAATATATGTATACATCAATATCTATTTATATATGGAATAGAGATACTTTAACGGTTTGTGTTCTATAACAGTCTTGTCAAGTTCCATTTTGCATCAAATTCATCACTCTTGATCAGATAAGCTGTTCGACAATTTTCGTTTTCAATTTCGGTATTCAAGCATAATCACGGTTTCTTGAGTTAAGTGAAAATCCATGTCCATTATAAGCAAATCCACTACGAAGATATTCTGGGTCGAACTCCATGAGAGAATTGAATGGACCCTCAACATGCTCATGCACTCATGGGAACCTACGATTTGCAGAGAAAGTCTTCAATTATGTACAATCTCCATGCTTGTTCACATAGAATGTAAAGCGTAGTTTTAATTACTAGGCCATTGGAATATTGGACGCAAAGCAGGTTTTTTTTAGAGTGCAAAGAGGTTAATGGAGATGCTGATGAAAAACTGGGATTGCATTTGATATTTATGTCTGCGAACTACACTCGGTATGTTACAGGTAACCGAAAACTGTTCGATGAAATGCCTGAGAGAGGTTTTTTTTCTCCTTGTTTCGCCGTTGTTCTCTCGAAGTGAAGGCAAATATATGTATACATCAATATCTATATATATATGGAATAGAGATACTGTAACGGTTTGTGTTCTATAACAGTCTTGTCAAGTTCCATTTTGCATCAAATTCATCACTCTTGATCAGATAAGCTGTTCGACAATTTTCGTTTTCAATTTCGGTATTCAAGCATAATCACGGTTTCTTGAGTTAAGTGAAAATCCATGTCCATTTTAAGCAAATCCACTACGAAGATATTCTGGGTCGAACTCCATGAGAGAATTGAATGGACCCTCAACATGCTCATGCACTCATGGGAACCTACGATTTGCAGAGAAAGTCTTCAATTATGTACAATCTCCATGCTTGTTCACATAGAATGTAAAGCGTAGTTTTAATTACTAGGCCATTGGAATATTGGACGCAAAGCAGGTTTTTTTTAGAGTGCAAAGAGGTTAATGGAGGTGCTGATGAAAAACTGGGATTGCATTTGATATTTATGTCTGCGAACTACACTCGGTATGTTACAGGTAACCGAAAACTGTTCGATGAAATGCCTGAGAGAGGTTTTCTTTATCGGAACACGTTGATTTCTGGTTGGTTGTTTAGATACCTTTATTTGTGGATCCCTGCATGTCTTCCGCGTGGCAAGAACTGTCCCAGAGTCTACACCAAAACTTCGTAATCATACTGATCATTGGCTTGAGTTACTCGTCATTTCATGGGGACAAAGTCAACCTGAAAGATTCGAGAGCTGCAAGAGAAGACGACGTGAAGACAGTGACGGTCATGTCTGTTAATCTAGAAATAGAAGGTAAAACAATCTTTTCTTTTCATCAGATTTATGGACAGACCAAAATTTTATCATGATCACGCTGTCTGCATTTCTGGAGCTAGTTCTTCAAACGAAAACCCACCGTTTTGCTTGCTGATCTTTGATTAATCAATGGCGATTGGAAGAGTTGGAAGGGGCCTAACTGGTCATGTTTTAGTAGTAAACTCTGTTGTGCACCTTATTATACTTGGATTAGCCGGTTGGTCTCTTGACAAGTACATCAATGGTGAACAAAACCATCCTCGTAAGATCTCTCCCTGATCTCTTTCTTGATGCGGGTTTTCTGTACTTGGGTTTTAACGTTGTTCGTGCTTTGATTGGCTCAATTTCTTTTACACAGATTTGGGAGGGAATACGTCAACGAGCTTTCTTTTGATGTTTGCACTTATAGCTAGTGCCGTTGGAGCTTGTTCAGTGTTTGCTGGGTTCGTCCATTTTCGGGCATGGAAAACTGAGAGTTTAGCTAGTGCTGGTCCTTTAGCACTCATATCCTCAGCCGTAACTTCTCTGGCTTTTGGGTATGCATTTCTTTTCTCTCTAATCATATAATCCTGTATAGGATTCTGTATATCTTCACGATAATATAATCCTATATAGGATCCTGTATATGTTTGCTTTCTCAACACTTTTCACAAGGATAACTAAGATTAAAACAAAAAAAGAATTATAAGCTGAACCAGAATGCACTCTTGTACCCTTTCCTTTATCCATTTATTTTTTTACTTGATACAGTTTGGTGTGCAAAGAGATCATATTAGGAGGACACAGGGGAAAACGCTTGGTAAGAACTTCATTAGAAATGTATAATTGGCCACAATCAAAACTGGCTAATGTTCAAGCTTTTCCTTCCAAGTTTGAACTTACTGATTAAACAATTACTCTGGTGATTCACAGCAAACATTAGAAGCGTTCGTCATTATATCACTCATAAGTCAGTTGCTGTATTTGGGACTCCTGCATGCTGGAATGTATAATAGCAGATATGGACCTGGTTATGGTGGCGTCAGTTAATGATATTAACCTGATAAGTTGGCGGTGGACTTTCCAAATGCTTGTGCTCAGTTTGTTTAATGCAAAAATAGAACTATTTAGCTGTTGTATATTTCTTTTTATAATGCATATAGATATTTATGTGAAAAGGAACTTGACATTTGTATTGGTGTGGTTTATATATATTGCTTGCAAGTAAAGAAGGAAGTTTGATAATGAAGTTGAAGTATTCGGCTTCGGTTAGGGTGAAAATCTTGTGGACGCCTTAATTAGCATACACTAATCTTAATGACAACCCGAATAACACTAAGGGAAACATGAGATTAAAAAATTATTAGATGTAATAATATTATACATATATTTTATTAATTTGCAGAATGAGAAAAAAAATTAATTTCTTTATTTTAAATTACTGAAAATAGGATTAAAGTTGGTCTGTTTATACTACCAATTATGTACGAAGAGTGTAGGGGTGCTTTTGTCCCACATGGATTCTGAGAGAGCTTGTGGAGCTAAAACCAAAGGTTAAAAGGAAAATTCGGAATAAACAGCAACTTATACCTTTCTCGGCCTTTTGGCTAAGATCAAGTGTAGTATCTGTTCTTATCAGTTTAAATTAGTTTTTTGAGGGGAAGGTGCCGTAACAATAGCTTGCTATTGGGCTCCTCAAGCGTCGTCCGTGCGTTGCACTGCTGCAAGGACCCGGCGCACCCCACCAAATCCCGAGTGATAAATGATTTGATTCCCAAACGTCGATCGTGACATCTGTCTTATGTTTCGTCTTTTAGTAGGTTAAGTAGTGTTTCCTAAGGCTTTAGATTTTATGAGTCAACTTGACTTTTAGTCCTTGACTGACTGGTCGACCACATTTGAGAACAAATTCTAGCTTGGTTTTCGAAGACAAGAGATTTATGTCCGAAAATCCACCCAGCAAACCCACCGTTTGATTTTTGGTGCAATGCCTCAGATGGTTGTGGTTTTATCGCGTTTGTTTTTCCGCATGTCGCGCGATAAAGAAATTATCCCACACCGTTTAGAGATTTGAACATATCGCACTTCATTTGTTTTTTTATCTCGATTCCCTTTACTTTCGCAGCGTTTCTAGAGCCGTAATTTTCATTTATTTTTGTTGTTTCTTCTGATCGAACAAATGATTAATGTTTGCATAAATCGAGAAATAATCAAAAGCTTTTTCTTCTTCCTTCCCCATTCTTGTCATATCTGCCGTCAAGTAAACTGTTCCTTTACTGTTATCTTCTCTTTGTATTCTTTCTCATTATCTTTTTGAATCACGCCAACGGTTAATTTTTTGCACGAATTGAGAAAACTGTACGAATTCTTTTCTTGCTTTTTGTCTCCTCCTGTTCTCTCTCTCCATCAATCAAACTATTCACTCGTTCTCCTTGGATCCATCATTTTGTTTCAATTTTCATTTATCCATTTCCAGTAAGAAAACGATTAACCCCTCTACTCTTCTCTCAAAAAAAAAAAAAAATATTTGTTCCTGTCGTCGTCTCCATCTCATTCCATCAAGCATAATCCCTTCTCATTCGGGGGTTTCTTTGACTTGGATTTCTGTATTTTTACAAGGTACTTATCCCTGTCTCTTTGTAAACCCTTTAATCAAGTAATCGTTGCTGATGCTGTTTAATTTTTTACAGCTTTATCAGCTGGGATTCCTCTGCTTCAGCCCTACATGAATCATAGCGCAGAGTCCAACTATACCATCATGGAGTGAATTTTCTAGTTGCTGGATCCATTGTCTTGTCTACTAATATACTTGTACAGAAAAACTTATCATCTCCAGTTACTAGTTGTTCTTTTGAATAAACAACTTGATTGGATGTTCACCCATTTCAATCAAACTTGTTCAAGTGGTGCAGGTCAGTATCTTGATAACACAAGTATTCTAAAATATTTACTTAAATGTGTTTCAATTGCTATCACAACCTTACTAATCAAATCATCAGGCAAAATTTTGTCTTTTGAGTATTCTCTGAGAATTGAATAGCTTCTCAACATTCCACAATAATCATCTTATATGGTAGGCTATATCCACAATAATCATCTTACACAAAAGCTATCTAGGAGTTTAAGAATAAAAACTCCGAATTTTGAGAGATGTACAGTGTGCTTTTGCGTTTGGCATAAGAAGTGCATTTATAAATCATTAAAAGACAAAAAGTCATTCGCAAGAAAATACAAAACCAACTTACCCAAATGACACAAACAGGTTGTCCGTTCTATATTAACTTCTTTACCTCAATATTCATTTTTCTCAGAAGTAAACAAGCAAAACTAGGGTTTATACTAGACATTTTTTATACATTTACTTGACAACTGCTTAAATTAGTCTCTCTTCCATTCTACAACCGCCAAAGTGTGGCGACCACCGCAGGCAACAAGTTTTGCAATCCAGCGGTTATCATCTCCACTGTCACCAACACTCATAGGTGGTGGGATATTTATGGGCACCTCCATTGGTTGACCCGTAGTCACCTTCCTCCCATATCCAAGGCGTCCATGGTCACCTCGACCAAACTGCCGATAGAAAATTAACCATAGTCAGAACATTCCAATTTGCAGAAGCTGGATATTCTAAACCTCTAAATTGACCAGCAAGCAAATGTTACACGCGAAATTTGGCCAAAAGCCAAGGCTGTATTAGGTAATATGCCTTCCCATGTAACAATTCTAACCAACGAGAATAAATTCTGCCACCTTGATTTTCAAGTCCATAACATTTTTAATCTTTTTTCTGAAAATGCATAATATATTTCATCAAAAAATCCATTTAACAGAAATATGTGAAGAAAGGAGACCAAGCTTCTCGGGGCAAGGTCAAAATTGAATAGGAATTCTCCGATATTTTTCTACATATGTATTTCAACAGGGGAAAACTCATTCAGCAGCAGAGATGATCAAATTTAACCAGCAAAAAGCCATTACAGGCATGGACTATATGATTTAAGGAAGAAAAAGAGTTCAAAATGGCAATGGAGGATGAGATAAATGTGGCAGAATCATCTAAAGCATCCAGCCAGTTGCCGTTAAAGAACTGGTAGCTGAGTTACTCACCTCACTGGTATATGATTTAAGGAAGAAAAAGAGTTCAAAATGGCAATGGAGGATGAGATAAATGTGGCAGAATCATCTAAAGCATCCAGCCATTTGTCGTTAAAGAACTGGTAGCTGAGTTATTCACCTCACTTTTTTCCCTATGAGAGTTTAGTCCTAAAGTTACAATTTTCAAATAAGAATCAAGTTACAGATTGTTTTCTCCCAATTACCAAAATGATTAAGAAAACGGAGAATTCACAATTATGATTATAGTGGTACTGACTAACTCATGATCATGGTAAGCTTGACTTTTTTGTTATATGGTGTATGTGCCAGAAGTGAAGCAAAAAAAGACTGGTAGTCACCCCCCTCCCCTGCTAAGACATATTTTTAACATTCACTCGAAAATGAAATACCCTCAGAAAAAC